TTTTAAATATTATATTTTTAATTATTAAAATACATAAAATAAAAAAAATCTAATAATAATGAGTTATTATAAAAATTCAAATATAATGTATATAATTTATTATCTATTTTAACAATTTAACAATTTATTATTATTTAAAACTCACATATTTCAAATCCCACAATTGAATTATGTAAAAAAAAGAAAATTTTGGTGTCTTATACGTTATTTCTTCGATATCTAACCCTACTGTCTAACCCTATTGTACCAATGTCAAACTCCTTAAATTTCAATCCAACAACTTTAAAAATTGAAAAAGAGACTCCGTCAGCATCCTTACGTAAGCAATTATTTAAAAAAAAAGGATAAAAATTGTTTTGAAATCCTTCATTTGAATGTAAAGCAAAAAATCTATTATTTTAACACGAAAGAAATAATACTTAAGTAATGAAATTTATTGATTTTTTATTATCATAAAAAATTGTATAATTTTTTTTTAGAATTTAAAGTTGTTAAAATTATAAATAAAATTAAATATTATGATAATATTGAAGTTATATTAAAGTTATATGGAATAGAATTGGATCTGAGTGAAAAAAATTTAAAAAAAAAAGTATAAATCTATAAAGGGAACATATATGAATTCAATAAAAAGAAAAATCTTGGATATAGTCACATAAAGAAAAGCAATGGGGAGATAAATTGGTATAAAAGGAAGATAAATTAGTATAAACTTTAATTAACTTGTAAGAAGAGAAAAAAATTGTTTGATTGTAAAAAGTGGTAGAGTGAAGAAATATGATGTTATTGTATTTCATATTTGCCAACCTCACTTGTGGAGGGGTAGAATCTCTTTCATTAGAGAAGGAGAAATAATTGATAATTCAAATAATTAAGTGCTTTACCATTTAGAAATCTTGATAACTAATTAAGTGCTTAAAAGTTTTATATTGTCAATTACTACCTTCATACAAATTTCAAATTTTAGATATTTTATTCAAATTTGAGATTGAAATAAACAAGAAAATAGCTAGTGAATTAAAATTGTAACAACAG